GGGCAGGGTGGAAGCATGGTTGCAAGATGAGCAGAGGCAGTGCCTGCCCTCCTGCTGGCACGGGCAGGGGCCTCTGAAACCTCCACATCTGGGTGGAGACTGCTCCGTATCCTATGGAGGATGGAGCCATGAGAGCTTTTATGGTCCAGGTCCACACAACAGCGGAGAAACGCAGCCCCCAGCGAGGGCGGTAGGACTGCTTTCCCGCTGGCCAGGGCTCATTTCACTGCAAGCGGTTGTGCTTTCTCCTTGCCAGCGTTAACTGCTGCAGCTCAGGATTTATGTTAGCAAATGAATGCGACCAGGGCTGATAAATCAATCAGCACAACCGAAAATAGCACCTGGCAGCTGTTGGAAGCAGGGGATCCCTTCCCCAGCAGGATGCACAGAGCGGGAGGGGGTTTATCCACCCAGGCCGGGTGCCAGCCCTGTGCAGAAACGGCCGCGGGCTGCTGGGGAGACCTCTCATCCGACACCTTTATCTGGAAAAATGGCTGTGGCTGGCTGCAGACTTCTCTCCAGCGTGTGTCTCGGCCAGGCAGTTCCCAGTCACCGGGATGGGGGAAATGACAGAGCCAGCCACTGGTGCAGAGAGCAGCTTTGCGAGCGACGCTGGGTGACGCTGCGTGGTCTGACGTCTTGGATTGCCTCAGACCTCAAATCATAAGCAATCATTTTAAAGCCTCTCACGGCTGGTCGTGGATGGAGTCGCAGAGGGAGCCCAGGGCTGTGGTTTCCAGGTCCTCCAGGACGGCGGTAATGCTTTGTGTAGGGATAAGGTTACTTGAGGAATCTGGTGACTCTATTTTTTCCACTGAGCTGCTGTGCTTAACCACCTGCACAGGAGCCAGGGAGGTTTCTGTGAAGCTGATCAACCCATATGGTGTCTTGTGAGGGGCTGTTATTTCTTCGCTCCTCTTCCATTGGGCGTCCTGGGGTGAGTATTGGGTTTAGCAGGCGTGCAGCATGAACCAGGAGCAGAGGGCGCTCCGAGAGGATCAGCTGCTTTCGGGCTGAACAGTCCGTAGATTATTTCTGCATCTGTGTTAGCTTTGGCTTGATCCCACAGATTTGCAACAGCTGTTGGGAAGCAGAGCAGAGATCCCCTCTTTAAATGGATGATCAAATCCTCAGAGTGCGGAGTGTGTTATTTCTATGTCATCCTCTTCACGGCAGGAAAAACAGCTTTTAAAAGTTGCTGAGGCAGCGCTCTGCCCTACTGCCCGAGCCATCATCCCATCATCGTGCGGTTTTGGAGCAAGTCGTAATTTTCTCTCTGCATCCCACGCTCAGGCCGCCACGGGATCCTTTGGATGGTGCGCGGTTGGGCAGGTACTTGTACCAGGGATGCCTTTTTCTCCTGGGCTTCCCTTCCCACATGGGCCACAACTGGTGGGCATACACCGAGCGGGACCGAGGAGGAGTTCATCTCTTTTTTGGAGCCTGTGTGTGTGCAAACCCCCAGCATTTTACCCTGAGAAAAACTTACCTCATGCAGTAGTTTGCCACAAGATGGATTAGGTCATCCTGGTGTTGGGAGGCCTTAGGTGGAGATCGGGTGTCTTTGCTGGAAGCTGCGATTCAGCTGCAAAATAGTGGCAGTGGTGTGAGAATCCCATGGTGAGCAATCTTATCCAGAAGGTCCAGGTAAAGTGAGCCAGGCCTATTTCCTGTCAGGGTTCTGCTCTTTCAGGTCAGACCTGCAGTAAAAGGAGCCATTTGGTTTCCTTCAGAAGTGTCTGACAGCTTTTGGGAAGCCAAAGCTGACTGCAGGGGGCTAGGGCAGTGGTGGTAGATCCTGGCCCTCATCCTGCAGCACACGCATTCTCCGTTGCCCATCAGCTTTCCCAGCGCACAGGAGCATCACCAAACCAAGCTGCTCCCACATTTGTGTGCTTTCCGATACACACAGCAACATTAATCTGGTCAGCGCATTGAGACCACTGATTTGCAATTCAAGTCTTTTATAACCAGGCTTAAATGGGAACTCGGTTCCAGTCGTCTTACGTGTGATTGTGGTGTTTGTTTTGTGATGGGTTTCAGTGATAACCCTGTCAGCAGATACCTTCCTTGTAGTGAGTGCTGCTTAGCAATCATGGAGCTCTGAAAAGTGTGGTGTCTGGGAGCTGCATGCTGCTTGTGGCTTTTGCAAAGGTGCAAGGTAAAACACAGCAGTTTTGTTGCTTTTTCTCATTTGCTCAGGGCCTGACTGAGCATGACGTGTTGGACAGGGCTTTGAGCAGCCTGGTCTGGTGGGAGATGTCCCTGCCTATGGCAGGGGGGGTGAAATGAATGATCTTTAAGGTCCCTTCCAACCCAAACCATTCTGTGATTCTGTGATTCACTGCTTTCACAGCCTGGTGGTGGACACGCTCCTCCAGCAGCTGCTGGAGAGTTGACCTTTTTTGATGCTTTTTGACCCTTTTGACACACACCTAGCTTCAGGCTTGCTCGAGGAGTTCTCCTGTGGACCCTCGATGATTTAGAAGTAGCAACCCCCCATTTCACAGGGTCAGAGTATCTGGGTTGCAGATTACCTGTACTGCAGGTGGCTGGGTGGCCAAGACGAGTCCCTGCAGTGGAGTTCAGGCCAGCGGGGCCTGATGGCAGACTCGTCCTGAGAAGAGCCAGGGCCAGTGTTTGGTGGGAGCTGCCAGGTCTGTTGGCCCCTGTGGACTGCCTGGAGCCAATGCTTCCAGCAAGAGTTGGTTTGGTTTGGTCTTACCCCTTTTGTGGGGTGTCCCAGCACCGTCCCACCGAGCACGGCCAGTCCATGCAGCCTCTTGGCTCTGCAATGCAAACCCTGCTGCTTCCCCAGCCAAGCAAAATGACCAGGACCGCCGCCGTGCCCCAGGGGGAGAGCTGCTCACATACAGAGGGCTTGGCAAAATGAAGTGTAATGTAAGCAACTGTGTAAAGAGAACGATCCAATTGCTAGTTGTAATTTCCTCATTGTTTGCAGCACCGTTTTAAATGCCTGTGATCCTCATAAAGAGCTTTTCCCCACCCTTTAAACTTCACAGAAGTGAATTTTACCTTCTGCGGTTTGAACACGCTCATTGTGAGGGGGCTGGTTTGCATTTAGTACAATTGCTTTTTTTCTTCTCATTTTTACCTTCTGCGGTTTGAACACGCTCATTTGTGAGGGGGCTGGTTTGCATTTAGTATGATTGCTTTTTTCCTTCTCATGCCCAAGGCCATTTGGTTTGTGAATCAGCATTAGAAACGAGTCGGCATGTGCCAAGGACCGTGCCTATTGGAAATCGAAGGCTGGCGGGCAGGACACAGAGTGTTGCCTTTCTCTGGGTCCTGGTCGATGGAGGTTAATGAAGTCTTCCTAGATCAACGTTAACGCTTTCCTTCGGGCCCAAGAGGGTTTTGCTAGCTCCTCGTTGTGAGCAGGCTGGCTCATGTGGCTCATTCAGGTGTATCTTCTGTAAAATAGTGTTGGAAGAAATGTAATACAGCGCCATTAAAACCTGAATGTGACTTTCTGCCTCAGCTAGATCTCTGGTGAGCAGGGATCTGGTTTGCCCTGCCTGGGCGTTGCATCCCTTTCCTGCCCTCATTTGCCTGGTCCCCAGATCATTCCCATCTCGGGAAATGATGTTGCGTCTATTCAGAAATCGGGGACGATCCCCAGAGCCGTGGCCTCTTTCTTTGGGAAAGCACGTGGGGCTGGTTTCCATGTGAGGTGCTGAGGGAAGCAGCAGCCCAGTGTTGTCATGTGCGGGGTTTTTCGGCTCTCACACCCGAGCCCTCGCTTGTGCTGGCACTGAGTGGGATTCTGGGTCCTTTCCTGCCCTTCTCTCACGGCTGGGTTTTATTCTCCAAACCTCAGTGAGTTGTAAACACCCTTAGAGGCTTTGCAGAGCAGCACTTGGCGTTAGGGGAAGGTTGTGATTCATTTCCTTCCCCTCTGGCTCTCGGCTATGGTTTGGCTTTTGTGTTTAAGAGTTTGATAATTCACCGCTGGGCTGTTCAGGTTGAAAAGCTTGGAGAAATGTCAGTAAACGCGGTGATTGTGGCAGCTCCTTCATGCACAGCGAGGAGGTCATAGGTGGCCTACACCTGCGGGCTGGGCCGTGCTGCAGCTGTCGGCGTCGTGTTCCTCCCCGTCCCCCTGTAGTTGGGTTAAGCTCCAAGTGCCCCTGTGCCAAAGCAGATGCTGGGAAATGTCAGCCCAGGACGCTGTGACACCCAGAGTGCTCAGTCACCGGTGTTGTGTGGAGCCAAGCTCACTGCAAAATGTAATGACAGCAGACAGCAACGTCTAGACCGGGACGCCCAAAATGTGGCCACTGCAGCCTGTGTGGCTTCTGCCCATAAGCAGTGGGGACCACTGGCCGTGCGGGGTGGATGAGCTGGGCTATGCGGCACCCAGGCTGGTGTCAAACCCGTACAGTGGCTCCTGGAACAAACCTGGGAAACCCCAGTTGCAGAAGAGTTGTGTTTCTGTGCGCTGGCCTTGTTTGCAGCGTGGCTGTGTCTTGGCAGAGCTCGCCGGTTTGTTTAACGAGCACCGAAATGAGAGGGGAGGAAGCAGCCAGAGAAGTTTTACAAATTGCTTCAGAGCAGTGGCATTAAAAACGTTTGTGCTCACCGTGTCTTTTAAACAAAGACCTCAAAGCACGGTAAATGCTATCCCCATTTTACTTGCAAAGAGGCACACGCAGCAGGAGGAGCAGCTTTACCTGCGCTCACAGGCAAGGTACGGGTGACAGGCACAAGGCAAATGCTGGTCTTGCCAGCAGGGGCAAGAGCCCCTTGAGGCAAGCGGACGGTGGTGACAGATCGCGTCTCTGCGGGTGCTGGAGGTCCAGGCTGGCCCAGCAGCTCTGGAGGTGCCCTCTCGTGCCTTCATTTGCGTTGCTGAAGCACCAGCTCTGTTCCTTTGCTTAGCTCCGACCTCTGGTCTGAAAGATGCTAACGGCCCAAAATCTTCCTCTTCACGCTGCCAGGCTCACCTTTCTCCTCCCCCTTCCCGATCTCTTTTACAGCTGAAGCTGTGGAACAAGTACAGAGTCTCCAACATTCCTTCCCTGATATTTATCGATGCCTCCACCGGAAAGGTGGTTTGCAGGAACGGCCTCCTGGTGATCCGAGATGACCCAGAAGGTGAGACTCAGCGTCCCGTGTGCCATAGAAACACGGGCACATGGCTGCCTTTTCATTGTATTTCGTTTGTAATTGCCTTGGAGGGGAGGAAAAAAAAAGAAACAAACAACTGCTGTCATACTTAACTAATCAAGGCACTGTATTATTTTCAGCCTAAAAGTTTCTGCATCATTCCTGCCAGATCTTGTGTTTTGGTTTTGCTTGTTGAAAAGAACAAAGATTTCCCCTCCAGGAATTTTGTCTGAAGTGCTAATGAGGAAAAAGGCAGACTAACTGACTTTTCCCTGGTAGCAACACATGGACAGGCAGACCGAGGGCCCAGACTTCCCATACTTTAGGAGCAGAATCCTTCCAAAATGCCGAGTGGGGCTTTATCGCTGACACCACACTCTGCTAGGATAACGAATTCCCCATTTCTTACAAATACAACAGAAAAATGCTACTGTTCTCCGTTCCTGATGTTTGCCCTTGATGTTAAATCCATCTTCTTCCAATTTGCAAAAACCAAAATGAGCAAAATGCGTGCCCTTACTCACAGACCCTGCAGCCCCATCATTCACCTGCCCCATCATTCACCATGCACGCACGTTACCAACCCCTTATTGCTTCGTGCAGATCCTGAGCATGGTGACTGAGGCTTTAATTCAGGTGGCAGGAACTGTGCAGCGAGCACACGCTGCGGCCTGAGCCATCTGTGGTGTTTCCTCCTCTCTGGCTGAATGCGGGGGTTGATCGCCCTGGGAGCTGGCAGCAGATGATGCAGAGCATGTGTTTGTGTGTACGCACACATGCTTGCTTTGGGGTGCAGAGGGTTAGTCTAAGTTTAGTTTATATATATATAAAAACCTATATATAAACCATGTTTTTTATTTATATATCTTATAATTTTATGAATAGAACAGAATACAATATAATTAAAAGCCTATATATAAACCATGTTTTATTTGTATATATATGGTTTTATAAATAAGTATAAATAAATATCTATATTTTTTAAAAGGTTAGTATCAGTATAAGGCAAATAGTCTGCATTCCTGAGCACATACCACCTTGCCCTCTTGTTAAAGCAAACACTGCTGATAAGGAAAAGACACCTCCTCAGGCACAAAACTCAAGCAGGCTTTGTCAAGCCTGAGGTGCGGTTACTTGGGCAAGGGTGCAGCTGGGAGGAAGGGGTGGCCCTGGCTCCGGTGCAGTGGCTTCCCCAGCTCCCCACTGTCTTTGGGGTGGGGTTTTTCATTTTTGGTGAAACTTTTTGAATCTGCAAATGCCGCACCTGCATCTTGCTGGTCTGTGTCTTCTTTCCACCCTCATCCCGACCCCTCTCCAGGTCTGGAGTTCCCCTGGGGGCCAAAACCCTTCAGTGAAGTTGTTGCAGGGCCTCTGCTCAGGAACAATGGCCAGACACTAGACAGCACCGCCCTGGAGGGCTCGCACGTTGGGGTCTACTTCTCCGCGCACTGGGTGAGCGGCAGGCGCTGTGCAGAGCGGTCAGAGCCAGCTGGGGCTTCGTGGCCACTTGGTCATCTGGACCTGCGGGGGGTGGGCCTGGCCCTGTGGAGGGGATGGTGTCATTACGTGTTGTGTTTCGCAGTGCCCGCCGTGCCGAAGCCTCACGCGGGTCCTGGTGGAGTCCTACCGGAAAATCAAGGAGGCAGGCCAGAAGTTTGAGATACTCTTTGTGAGCGCAGACAGGTAAGGAAGCGTGGACACGCTGCGTGGGCAGAGCCGGCTGCCCACAAGCTGGGAAGCTGTGAGCTCTGCTGGTTTGATTTGAGGAGGAAATTTGGTTTGGGGTAGAGCAGGTTGGCTCTGGTGTCAGAAAGGCTGCCCGAGTCCTTTGCCCTCTGCCCAGTGGTGAAGTGCAAAGGGGGGTTAGCGAGGGCAGTTTTGGGCTGAGAGCAGGCTCTGTCTGTGGAGCAGCTCTGGATTTCCCTTTGTGGCTTGTTAATCTGAGGTCCGAAGGGTGCCCGAGCTGTTGGTGTTATCATGGGTTGACATTCAGATGCCGGGTAGAGTTTGAAGTATTTTATTGGGAAAAAAATGAACTGTGAACCCCTTCTTGAGGCACTGGGGGAGTTAAAATCGGTGTAGCTGTCCCTGGGTTGTGTCTGCCCTTACTGGTGGGTTTTGGTGGAAGGGGTAAAGGGCTTTGCAGGCCAGGTTTTTAATGAGGAGCAGAGGAAGGAGCGTTGCAGGCAGAGGAGCAGCACCCTGGATCCCATGCCCTGTTCCTCTTGGCAGGTCAGAGGACTCCTTCAAGCAGTATTTCAGCGAGATGCCCTGGGTAGCTGTGCCATACCCCGACGAGGCCAGGCGGTCGCGCCTGAATCGACTCTACGGCATACAAGGTAGGAAAGGCTACGCAGATGCACGGCTCTCCTTTCTGCTTCTTTTTTGTTGAGTATTTGTAATGTTTCCTCTTGTTTAACTAAAGCAAGAAAACAGCAAAGCAAAGCACGGTGCCCCAGGCAGAGCCGCTTCATGTTTCTGCTCTCCACAAACTCACATTCCTACCACCTGCCAGGCAGGCTGTTAGTTGAAACAGGACTTCCATAAACAACCTAATTCTTCCTGGAAACTTGGAAGCTGTTTTTGGCTTGGGTGTTTTTTGCCTAATTACCAATGTATTTATTTTGCTTTTTCTTGAAGGTTTAGATTTCATTTTCTTGCTGTTTTATGTAACGCAAAGGCAGGCTATCGTTCTCTGCAGAGGCCAAGGAAGATGGCATCTGGTTTATGTTAGTGACATGAATTACAGAGGAGCGTGTGTTTGATGTAAACCATGGCTTCCCCTTTACTGTACGTGCCAGTGCCAGAATTCCAGCAGCCCCGGCTGCTCAGAGGGGCAGGGGAGAGGCTGTGTCTGTCTGGATGGCTTCAAAGCATCCAAAAGGCTATAAAAGCTCACAGCAGCCCTCCTCGGGACTGGCATCTTGTTCCTGCAGGGGGCAAACTGCAGTGAGTAGCTCGCAAGGAGATCTTCTGTACATGCACAGAGTTTCTCTCTGTGGTTGAAGCATTTGCTGCAGCGTGCCCGCTCACCCATTTCCCTGCTCCTTCGGTGAGGCGGGCACAGGCTGGCAGAGGGTGAATGCAGTCTGCAGGGAGGAGGAGTGTTCCCAAAAGTGGCCAAGGGCCCGGGGAGAGCAGCAGGAGAAATAACCCCTCCTTGGAGTCCTCTCCGAACACCCCTTCTGGCCTGAGCTCAGGTGCCATCGCTCAGCTCTGTTCCCTGACCTTAAACCAAGAATAACCATTTGCCTGCTTTAAATAGCCATCACTTTGCTGCTTTATTACCTTCCCATGAGGCAAGAGCTTCCAAATTCATCCATCTTTTCCGCGGCCTGCTCACAAACCTCTCCAGTGCCGGTTTTGGCTGCAGGACCGCTGCCAGTTTCACTGGGACTTTCTGTAAATAAGGTGTCCAGACATGGATACTTGAGCACCAGGCATGCTGTAGCCAGGGAAACAGTGACAACAGCTTTTCCCTAACTGCAGCCACTGGCTCCTTAAATGTCGCTCTTCATTGTGTGCTGGCCTGAAAACGTAAATATTTGCTGCTGCCCTGCACCCTGACCCCTTTTATCTGCCAGGGAAGCTCCCATATTTCAGCTGCTCTCCCAGAGGCGCCGACTCTGGGGTTTGGGCACGTTTCAGTGCAGACCCTCCTGCTTTTCTGTCATGGTTTTCCTGTAAAGTGGAAACCTCTTCACAAGGATGAACTACGATCACACAAAGCGCTGTTGAAGCGTGAAGGCAGGCTGATTCACACCCTGCATGGGAAGCATCGCTGTCCCATCTCCTGTCCCACCTGGGTACTGAACAGGTTTTGCAAGGCTGAGCTGGGCTGTGTTTCCCCACCGTGATCCCTGTAAGGTGACCTGCCTATCCCCAAATGCGAGGCTCTGATGCTGCCGAGCATCCCCTTTGTAGCTGCACCTATGCACCGGTGTGTAGCCCGTTCAGTATCCAGGTTACGATGCTGGTAGTGCCTCAGGTTGTGAGCCCGGCGTGTGTCTGGGGTGGTTTTTCCACTGGATTTTGTAAGGCTGGGAGCTGAAACAACAGAAGAGCTTGTCTTCCCCAACTGCTTTCGGTTCAGTAGCAAGAGAGTCAAATCTCGTGGTGTTTTAGTCCTGTGTTGGCCCCTACAGCATTCAAAAACTCAGTGTAAAATGTGAGTTGAGTTATGGGTCTTTATTTGGGTTTACTTGAATGCCTCTATTCATAACCCCTGCGCAGACAGCGGGCTGTACCCTACCCACCTATATAAAATTGCCTCTGGGTGCAGCACTATCTTGAGTGAGTCGTGTCTTGGGTCCTGGCTGCTTAGAAATAATACTCTGTTGTGTGGGCAACTCCTGGTCCACGTGGTCCTGCAGTGGGTGAAATCCCCTGACATTAGCTGTGCTTCCCATGGGATGGGGAGCAGGGATAAATTCTTATTTATTTAGCCTGGAAGTCACTGTTACGGGAGGTTTCTCATACCAGGTTTCTGGAGCTTTCTTCTGAAAAGGTGAAAAAACAGCAATAAATCCACCACTGGTGCTGGGGTTGGTGTGCTCTGAGTGTTTGCTTCATGGTGGTTTTGATTACTCACCCAATGGACTTCATGCAGATGAGATATCCATGTCGGACATGGGTTTTAATATATAAATAAGTAAATGTATTGCCAGGTTCAGTAACAAATCATTTGGTCCCTTTGTTTTCATAAAATGCTGGCCCACGGGAACCAGATCCATTTTTCTAATGCATAAAATCAAACCTAGCCCATCTATGCTAATTCTCATCCAAGCTTATACAATATTCATGGCAGAGCGTCTCATCTGTGATTCTCTTGATAAGTAAATTCTGTTGTTATGACTCATGGCAATTACCAAAGCCCCAAAAGGCATTAAAATAACAAATAGTGGCTGGGATGAGCAGGGGGGGGGACCAGGGGGAAAATATTGGAGTTAGTGGGTATGAATAAGGTTGAAGACGGTTCCCCCACTCCGGAATGCTTTGAATAGTGGATGAAGTCCTTGATAGATGTGGGGTCACGCTCACAACGATCTCTGCCTAAGTTGGGCCCTTGATTTTCCCAGATCAGCAAAGCTCATTTGAAATCTCTGCCTTGGTGTGCTGTGATGTTCAGGCTGACTGGCCACGGGGTACCCAGCTGAACTCAGGTTTTGAGCCTGTCCCTTGTGCATAACGCAGGTCTGGAGAGGACGGAAAGGTGGGCATTTGGGATGGGGTGGGGATTGTACATGGGTAAAGATCCGAACCACGTAGGATGCTGATCAGCGTGTGCTTCAGTTGGCTTCAGCCGTAGTTTGTGCCTTGCAGGGCAGGGCCAGAGTGAGATTTCCCAATTCCTTCCAGTCTGTTTAACCCGTCCCTGCCCTACAGCTACTTGGAATACCAGCAGGTAATGAATAAGCCTTTTTGTGATACAGAATTGGTTTCTTGGCATACCCTTAGGATTTGCAAGGCCAGCCATCAGCAGTGGGCTCTTGCGGCAGGCCCGGCACGCTGGCAGGGATGGGGTGGGGGGCACCAG